TTTAACCAGCCACATGTGGCCTTCTGAAAGACAAGTAACCGCAGAAATTTGAGATTTTTTGTCTCTGAATCAAACTTGGGCGTGATGTGCAATGAAAAGTTTTTTCAGTGGTTGCCACAGATGACCGCTACACTCACCTTATACACAGTTTATCTGAAAACCAAACAAACAAGCGTACATTTTTCTTAAATTTTTTTCTTTTGAAATTATTTAACTCCTAGTCGCATGACATCAACTTTTTTGGTTCAATGCCTTCTTTGTATCCTCTGCGTTCAAGAAATCTTGGTACCGTCGCAAGACTGATGGTTTTTTGAACGACAAAATTATTGAAAAACGTATAATTTTTTAAGTCTTAAAAAGAATTTTTCTGTTATAGGTAACACCCAAGTGGAAATGTTTGATTTAAACAGGTTTTTTGAAAGAAGTTTGTCAACTATTCTGAAACTCAATGCTGTTGTTAGCTTCCTTTTCTTGCAAGGTTCAGCCAAAGAAAAAGAATTCCTATTCATGAAGAAACCCATGTTGATAGTAAAAAATCGAATCAGCAAAAAGTGTTGAGCAATAAGAAACAATTTGATAGGATTGTGAGAACGCGTTATGGTAAGTTTGAAGAAAGTGTCAAGAAACAGCTTAGAGCGGAAAAAACATTTCGCCGTGCTTTGTCAATCTTGATATTCTCGTGGTTTTAGTGAGTTAAAATCAAAATTTAGAACAATTATGGACCAAACTTAAATGACCGGTTGCTTTGCAAGTAGCAGATAAGTGTCTGACCACAATATAAAAAAATCAAATGGACAGTTATTTCTATACTTTTTGTCAAAAAAGGACAAGAAATAAAAAAAATTACACAAATTTTCACAGACTTTTCCTTTTCTTGAATTTTTTATTTCCAAATGTTTTCAAAACGACGCTACAGAGTTTCAAAAAAGATTTCTATCGGAATGAAAAAAAGCCTGCTTGCTCGCTTTATTCTCTCGAAATTGAACTAACACTCAAACGCCGCTTTCAGCAAGTTTTCTCAAACATAAGCCTGCTCTTTCCTACTTTTAATTGCTCGAAAACACAACAAAAATCATAAACCTTAAGCGGTTTATTCTCGACTTAAAAAATTTTATGCAAGTGGTTTAGTTTCGTTTGAAACGCGACTGAAAATTTTTTTTTATGATAAATCACTTGGCCCTTTCCAGTTTTGTGCTAACGATTTTTGTGGAAAAACAAATATCATACATCCGAATACAAAGCACCTCTCCAGTTTCAATGGTTGAAACAAGAAATTTAAAAATCAGAGCCAGTAGCTACTTTTTCAAAATCACTCAAGTTCATTTTCATCATATTATTCTACGGTCAAAACCATCTACAATAATGTAGTGTCGCGTTCTTGAGCTGTCTTAAATTAAATGATTCTGTTAGTTTCTGCAAAAAATTGATAGCGTGCTTAATTTAGGCCATGATTGACGCTGAGTTTACAAAAACTGCATAGCCTTTTGATTTTGTTATTCTGAGTTTTCATCCAAAGCCAAGGTCAAACTGTGCATGTTAAGAGCAATAGATATGTTCTGTAAAAAAAACGTGATAAATTTTGTAGTTATAATTGGAACAAGTTTTCTAAAAAAAATTTAGTTGCCAGTGACAAATGGCTTAAGATAGCTTGGCTCAATTCATTTTGCTATTCGCTCAAAAAACTGTTCCAAGAAAACAAGAAAATTAAAAATCAGAGCCAGTAGCTACTTTTTCAAAATCACTCAAGTTCATTTTCATCATATTATTCTACGGTCAAAACCATCTACAATAATGTAGTGTTGTCGCGTTCTTGAGCTGTCTTAAATTAAATGATTCTGTTAGTTTCTGCAAAAAATTGATAGCGTGCTTAATTTAGGCCATGATTGACGCTGAGTTTACAAATACTGCATAGCCTTTTGATTTTGTTATTCTGAGTTTTCATCCAAAGCCAAGGTCAAACTGTGCATGTTAAGAGCAATAGATATGTTCTGTAAAAAAAAACGTGATAAATTTTGTAGTTATAATTGGAACAAGTTTTCTAAAAAAAATTTAGTTGCCAGTGACAAATGGCTTAAGATAGCTTGGCTCAATTCATTTTGCTATTCGCTCAAAAAACTGTTCCAGTTTTGGTTTTTTTTGATTTCCACAAACAAAAGTTCATTCTTTGTACTTAAAACTCGCCTTTGTTTCTATTTCTAGCAATAATATATATTCGTTGAGAATTTCTATAATTATCTCCAAAAAAACTGTTGATATTTGATTACATTTGCGGAAGCCACTACCAAACTGCGGGCTCCACTAAAAACTGAGCAACCCACTTGCAAATAATAAAATTCGCTGCTTGCCAATTAATTTTTGTGGGGACAAAATTATGTTTTAAAGTACTTTTCACTAACTTCCGCAATAGTTTTGTAGGTTGATTCCATCTTCATTTTGAATTATATTTAAAGGCTTGTAACGGGCTTTTTCAAGACACTTTGGCCTCGAAATGGAATCAAAAGCTTTTTCACAATGGGTTGTTGATTGGGGAGCAGGCCTTATTGCTCCAACTTTTGAAGAAAGTGATTAAATATTTGTGTCCGGGTAGGTTTTTTCTCCAGAAAAATTTCGTTTTTTGAACTAGCAAATTTTTAGAGAATTTTTAAATTTCATTCGAAAGGTTCTGATTTCCAATTTAAGATTTCCATTTGGGGCCAATTAACGGGCAATATATTTCGTGCTATTATCGCGTAAGCGAAGGTTTAATCTAAATTAGAAATCTTTCCAAATTGAATTGAGGCATGTTTTTTGGTCTATCTAATATTTTGCTCACGCAATATATATATCACTTTGTTTCTTACATAGTATGTGGCGGATGAGTTAAAAAAAACACCACAGTAGAAAGTAAAACGCCCTGACAGGAGCAATTTTGTTTTGTTTTGTGTTCAGTAACAAGCTATTTTACTACTTTTTACAAGTGTTGAAAACAAGAAACAGGAAGCTGTGAAATACTTTGTGAAACGAAAAAAAGCTGGTAAGCACTCAAAACAACACCAACGTAAATGATATCCAGTTTGCAGGCCCTCAAAAAAGCGAAAATGATTGCATGACAAGTGCTTTGAAAACTGCTCAATTAAATCTCAACTTGATGAGGACGCAAAAACTTTAAAACTCTCAAAAAATAATTGCAATATACGCTAAAACTAGAACAAAAACTTCAGTACCTTGTGTAATAATGCAAACAAGTAGCAAATACATAAATTAATCAAATGGCTTAGTAAACCTACCCTTAAAAAAATTTATACATAGAAGCGAAGCTTCACTTCGCAAACACTAGCGAGAACATGATAAAAAACAGCTCTATAAAATGCAATAGTAGAAAAAGAAACAAAAATTAGAACTAAGCCTCCATTTAGCAAAAATTCGGCTGGGGCTATGATTCGATCTGCATCCCATTGCAATCGAGAGATTTTGAAAGTCACGCACTAGCCATTCAGCCATCAAGCTTAACCACCGACAAACACTAGTCACGGATAAAGCAGCTACATTTGCTAATAAATTGCGAATGCGCTTCCAAAAGTGCCACCAAATACAAATAGACTCAATTTTGCAAGTAATAATTTGGAATATATAAAACTGAAAGCATCCACACTAATTTTGCAGGTAACAAATCGGAAAGCATAGAGCCACATTATGAACAATTTATGCATTTCAAAAATTGTGAGATTTTTTCACTGAGAAATTTTCTAAAATCAATTTTTTATGGTTATGCTGTTTGAAACAAAAGCTTTTTTCGGTTCATATGATGAATTAATAATGAATCAATTGTGTTAACTTATTACTTTTCGAATTTCAAAGCACATGCTATCAAAAAGCTGCAAAGGGGCCCCCAAAAGTTGCACCAATATTTGTTTCTTAGCTTAGAAAAAAAAGTTCTCAAAAATACACTAAGCTAACGCTAGTATAAAGAAACAAAGAAATGCACCCTTGCTAAAAACCAACACATTTCTGCGCCTGAAAACTATCAAAATTGAAACTCATTTCGAAGTTTTCAGTTACCAAATCTTAATGTAACCAACACGGAAAAATTAATTCGCGATATGCTCCCAAACCACGAACCAACACACAAGTCTTACAGATCACTTCGTTCTTCAAGCTCAAAAAAGTCGTCTCAATATCGCGGCTCACTTTAAGATGTCTTTTGTGATAAATATTTGTCCAAATTGTTACTATTTGGCAATTGCAACCAAAAAATGGCCTATTAAGAATAAGGAGAGACGTCTAAATCAATAAATTTGTGATTTGTTCCGAAATACTATGCCAATTATGGTATATTCAGTTGGCTGTTTATTGTTTGCTATTATGTCATTCTGAATTATGCTCATTTTGTACGCTGGAAATTTGTCTTTTTTGCTAACGGAAATGAAATACCGGTCAGGTAATTTAATTGTTTACTATTTTTTACTGTAAGTTAACGGCTGGTTGCTGAAAAAATCATGTCTCGGCTGCTATTTAAAAGCATCAGCATTTTTCAACGTTTGCATGAAAAATGCCGAGTCCTTGCAATTGTATTGATCAGAAAGTTTATTTAGTAGTCTTTCTCAGGGGCGGATCTAGGATTTTCTCGAGGGGGGCGGCTTTTCAATTTTTTTAGGTCGACCGAATTGACTTTTCGAGCTCTCTTTAAGCACGATTTAGTGTCCCTGTTTTGGCCAAATTTTCTGCGCCGCAGGCAAAATTTTGAATAAACAGTCTAAAAAATCGTTTTAGGCACTTTTTGGAAAATTTTGACCAAAAATTCGCGTTTTTTCGGCGCGCTCTCCCCTCAAAATTAGTATATATTGGCGCCGAAGGCGGCTTTAGAAAAACTTTAGGGGTCGGTCTGCCAAAAATGGATTTCTTAAAAAGTACCAAAGGGGGACCCTTTGGGTCGGCAGGGGGTCGAATCCCTGAGGGAGGGGCGTCCCCACCCCCCACCTTAAATCGGCCCCTGGTTTTTCTGTACTTTTGAGGAAAACAGAAACATTAGAAGATTGGAATTAGTTCATTTGATAGAATGATTTGAATATTTGTTTCAGTTTGTTCAGATTTGACATGATGTCTGGTTGGTTATGCAACTGGCAAGTTGGGTTTCCATGGGTTGCGCATTTTTATGTCATCGTAAGCGTGAAGAAGTTCCACCAGATTGTCTCCAATGAGGTCACGAACCTGAATCACAACGAAAATAAGCCCCGAAGTGGAGGAATATCTCTAAGTGTCTAAGTAATATATTAATGGTACCTAGTAACAAATTGGCACCCATACAAGAAACTAAATAGGTGAAAAAGCATATGTGAATTTTGAATCTAGCAGCGAATCGATCTCCCTCCCCCCCCTTCCCCTCTTGCAAAAGGGGAAAATAATTTAAGAGATCCAAATAGAACAGCAGGCAATTCTGTTGCTTTATTGTTACACTTTTACTTAATATTCAGATAATAATTTGATTCCCCTGCCTAAATTTTGCTATTTCTATATAATGTAATAATTATCAGAAAACTTTGATTTGATCTTAGAAAGTTACAGAGTCTAGTTAGCTGACTTTTCCGACCAACCAAAAACATTTTTTTTTTCATTTGGTCGTTTTTTGTTGAAAAATCAGTCAAAACTTTACTCTCAGTGAGTGATTCGACTTTAAAATCTTTCAAACTTTGTTTTGGTGATGATATCCCGCCACTCGTGTTAACTATTTTAAACGGTAAAATCATACCATGATGTGCATTCTCTCCCTGTACTTGGTATGAAGTGAGTCATCCTCCGCCGGCTCCTCGAGTTCGATCGAGGTCACCGCCCTACTCATGTCCAGCACGCCCCCTTTCTCTGAAAAACAAACAGCGTGAAAAAGCGCAACTAAAAGTAGTCTCATGAATAGCTTCTGATAAATTTGAAATCGATTGTAAGCAATTCAAAGACATCGTGGCAAGCTTTTCAAACTCATTCAGAAACTTCAAGCAATCTCTCACTGGATTTTTTTTAAATTGAGTGAATGTAATATTTAAAGATTACCGCAATATAAAGAATAGCACAAAAAAATTGAACAGACAAAATTAATTAAAAAGCGCAAATAACCTATTTCTAAAAAAATTTGCATGCAAAAGCTTATTTTTCGACTGAAGGTTGTCTTAAGACCACCTATGAAATTAAGTTTATGAATAAAAAGAGCTCAAAAATGGCAGATTGCTATTTTAACTACTTCTGTCTGTTCCAACTTTTTGCAATTTATTATATGAACAATGAAAGCGGGCAAAGCTCGCAGCTCTCAGGCCTGCTTAAGCAAAACTAACACAGAGGTGAAGCTGCAATTCGCAAAAGAGAAAAATTGACAGAGAGAGCTTTAATTTACAAAAAAAACACTTAAGTGAATCGAAAAAATATTTTGGTTTTAAAATTGACAAGGCTGCTCGATAAGCGCTAAGCCCGTTCAGACTGCTTAAATCGTATTTTTATGAAACTTTTCTGCAGCGTTTTTTGTATTTTTATGAAAGTATTCTGCAGCATTTTTGCAATTTTTCGTATTTTTATTAAAATATTTTGCAGCATTTTTGCAAAAATTGTTCTCCAAACACTATACACAGAAAAAATGTTATACTTTTTTGTACTTTTGAAAAACTGCTGAATATTTATACCTTCGGTAGATTTTTTTATTCAGTCATTTATTTTCGACAATTTTATAACTCTTTAACTTTTATTTTCAAAACTTTTTATACCATCAGAATGATATTGTTTTCTGCAGCTCAAATGTAAATTTTTTTACCTGTGACATTTTTTGTAAAGTTCCGGGGACTTGAAAATTGCTAATTTGGGATAATTAGCGCGCGATAAATTGCGTTCTTATAACACGCATTGGCGGCGGATTAATGCGTTCCAAACTGAATTCAGGCCAGCAATTTAGTTTTATTAAAATAATAAGAGACGCAAACTACGCCCTTTGTATTTTGCATAGCATGTGGGGGAAAAAATTGAGAATCTATTGTTTGTTAATTATTCAACCAAAAAACTTTTTCATTTAACTACTACTTAAAGTGCAGTCGGAACATTCAGGGCTTCGGCCGAATATGCGAGAAGTCTTCTTAACTTCAATTACGTATCATCATACCCACATAGCTTGCCTCAAATCCATTTGGAGCGAGTTCTCAGCCGACATAAATCGCCGCTTACCGCGTTAATATCACAAAAGATATCGCTCGATTTGTCTCCAATGTGCCAAATTGGTAACTTTCAAAACCCCGCATTCTTACGAGAAAGGATAGCAGTGAGGTTCAGCTCAGGATGTCAGTTTTTTCATCAAAATTGACAAGTTAAAAAACCGAAATTTGACTGAATAAGAAAAATATACCGAGCACAATTAGTACACTGCTTCTTCGAAAATTAAACAAACAATGAGGCAAGTACAGAATTCGAAAAAACTCTAGAACAACTAGAAAACGAGTGAATTTTCGCGCCGACCTAATTAGTTATAGCACATTTTAGAAAACATCATTTTGCAAAAAAAAATGAGCTTTAGAGGAAGATAAACCACAAACTTTTACAGCGCTACATAGAGTTGAAGCAGTACATGCACGCTGTAAATTGACAAAAACAAATTTGTGCTAGTTAGGCTGATAAAACTTAAACTCAAGGTATTTTACATGCGGTTGCTTGTGTACATATAAGGTTGGATGTTAAGACGTAAATTTTACAGATTAAAAAAACCATTTGTGAATAAGAGTAACAGTCAAGGCTTTAATTGAGTAACAGTATAAAACAAAATTTATTGGTAAGTTTGAGAAGCGCACATAATTCGAAACAAGACGTCTCAGATAGTATAAATATCATTCAATACAAGTTGTGTATCAAAACTAGCCAAAAACAGCGCATTTTTTGTTAGGAGCAAGAAGTTTGAAGGAACTATGCGATCCGGTGTGCTTTGAATTTTTTCCCGCAAAAAGGTAGATCTCCAAATAATCTTCAGACCAGGCTGAGTGACATAATATATTAAAGCTTTTCAGACGTCAGTCAATCGTTTTTGAGAAATTTTTGAGTTTTTTTTGGTGTAGACAACGTTGATTTGGAAACAATGATTTCCAAGCACCAATTAGGGGGTTATGCTTTTCAGACAAAACTACACAGAGTAAAGCCAGCGACTGGAGCTAAAAGATTTTAATTGAGCTGCAAAAAATTTGGTTTTCAGCTGTAAAAACCTAGTCTTTGGATCTTCAGTAAGCGTTTCCCGTCACCAAAAATTCAACAACTCTACCAAATAATTTTTTTTCAAAAATAATTGTGTTCCGAACATTTTATATCATTGAAATACAATTTTTTTTAAGTATGGAAACAGTGGCTGAACTAGGATTTTCTCGAGGGGGGTGGATTTCCAAAAAAAAATTTGAAAACTTTGTCAACCTTTTTTTAAGTTTGACCAAAAGGATTTTTCGAGCTCAGCCAAAGCACCAAAAAGACCCTGTTTTGACCAAATTTTATGCGCCGCAGCTAAAAATTTCAAAAAAAACAGGCCAAAAAAAATGTTTTTAGGCACTTTTTGGAAAATGTTGACCAAAAATTGCGTTGTTTCCGCGCGCTTCCTCAAAGTTAGTAAATATTGACTCCAAGACGCCTTTAGAAAAATTTAAGGGTACGTCAGGCAAGAATGGATATCTCAAAATGGTACAAAGGGGGACCCTTTGGGTTGGCAAGGGGTCGAATTCCTGAGGAAAGGCGTCCGCATCCCCCCCCACTAAATCTACTACTGTGTTCTACATCTACAGGAGTTCTGTATTCTACATCTATTAGACAACAACACATCAATCAACCTGATTCGTGTTCATTCACGAATATATCCGCGCCAACATTTGAATTCTCACGGGTCAAATCCACACCCGAAGTATTCGCCCCATCAACACCCATTAAAGCACTCTGACGTGCGGCGTCATCGGAATTGATTACATTTATATTCAGATTATTATACGGCTCTTCTGCGGCACTCGTTTCCCGAAGATCATCGGGTAGGCCCGAGTTGATCTCGTTAATGACTACAAAGCCGCAAAACAACACAAAACATGGCGATCACGAAATAAGGAAACTTAAACTTGATGAACACTGGTGCAAAAATCTTGTAGTGCTTTATAATCGTGCGCATGAATTGAAAAATTTTCACACTTCACGGTGTAAAATTAGGTGCCAAAACGAAGGAGTGTTTAGTGCAGAATTTTACCCGGAATTGAAGACATCGAAGGCATCGTGACCGAAATGATAGCTGCAAATACCAATTACACAATGAGAATCATTTTATGAACCATAGAAAACCTCGAATGAATCAGAAAAAATTTCGAATGAATCAAAGAAAATTTCGAATCACAGAAAAATTTGACTAACCGCTGACCTTAAAATTTTACGACCTACATTGATTTACAACTATATGCGTTCAAAAATGAAACTACACAGACATCAATTTCGAATAGGTTCGTTAAGATTTCGAGCGATGCCTTCAGTGGTATCGAGTCCGACCTAACCATGATTTGGCAGTTTGGAATTAGAGCCATGATTACTTTTCATCCTGATGACTACAGAACAAAAGTACCTCTATACCTTTAAAGCATCGTGTAAATTATTCCTATATTTAAAAAACATGTGAGACAAAATATCTGGCTGATGGTATGTTGATGCAGATTTGTTGCACGTGACCCTTAGAAGATTCAGCTGCAATTAATGCGAATACCCAAACAAAAAAAAACTTTTCCAGAGGGTTAAATAATTTTTCTATAATTAATAAAAACTCAATTAAAGATAACTTCTGAAATACATTGTAGTTGTTGAGAGCAAAAGTGCTCTCTGTCTCTACTGAGTTTCGGTTCAGCTTACCGTCAGTTTGGCTGTCTTGGGCGATGTTGACGCCACTGACAGTTGACATCTTCTTGTTGGACTTGGATGCCTCGTCTTTTTTCGGACTACCTGCTTTGCTAGCCGGCCTCTCCTTAGCACCACCTCCACCCTATTAACAAAATAATTATTAAATTTCACAACAGCGGTACACGAAAACAAGAACACACATTATACTAGCAAACTAGCGCTGCAAAAATAGTATCCAATGATTATTCTTAAAATTCATTTGGAGGTTTTCGAGTAGATTTCCAAGGAAGCCAATTTAAATAGCATAGCTTGAGTAAAATTTTTCTGTCAAGTGAAAACCTTCTAGAAAATTAGGTGAAAAAATCTACTCTGAAAAAGTTTTAATTATTTTTTTTTGCAAAATAACTAAATCATTTAGGTTATTTTCATTAAATTAACTTCGAAGAAAAATTTATAATTTCATTTATTTTTCGCAAAGAGAAAACATTTTGGACTTTTTTCAGGGTGACTTTTAAGAATCATATCTCGTTTCACTAATACTTGAAACCATTCTTTTTGTGACAGGTGGCAAAAACTCGCCGAACGCAGGTGATACATTTCATAAAGTTGGTTTGTGTTTTATTCACTTATTTTTCGGTATTTTATCGAGAGTTCACTGCATTTTGTACTAAGCAAGATTATACTGCTGTTTTACAGTAACCGATCAAAACAAAGAATACTGAAATTTTCAAACTCGTTTTTCTCTAATTGGGCCGAGATTAGACGCAAAAAAATTCCGACAAAAATTGCATAGAAATTGACCAGTTTTTCTGGTGCAATTGAATAGCTAACTTTGCAACTAAAGCTTCACCCTGAACATTCGGTTCAAAGTTAAGGAGGAAAATGAGGTCGATTGATGTAAAAATAACTTCAACTGTACCTGTTTTCCTCATTAACTTTGAACCAAATGAAGTGAACTGTTTTCAGATTTAAACTGCACACCAGCGGATTTAGGGGGAGGGGCGGACGCCTCCCCCCTCAGGGATTCGACCCCCGGCTGACCTAAGGGGTCCCCCTTTGTACTATTTTGAGATATCTATTTTGCTGACTGACCCTAAAATTTTTTGAAGGCGCCTTTGGCGCCAATATATACAAATTTTGAGGGCAAAGTGATTTGGGAGAGCTCGGTAAATCAATTTGGTCGACCTAAAAAAATGGTCGATAAAATTTCGCAAAACTTTTGAAAATCCGCCACCCGAGAAAATCCTAGCTCCGCCCCTGGAAAAATAAGTAAAAAATTTTCAGTTTTCTTTTTAAATTGGTTACCATAAATTAGCACCGTGTAGCCTTGCTTAGTACAGAATGCAGTAAGCTTTCGATAAACCAACGAAAAATGCGTGAAAAAAAACGCAATCTTTAAGTTCTAGTGAAATGAGAGATAACTTAAAAAGAAATATCTTCAAAGCACCCTGTAGAAGAAACAAAATGCAAGAAAAATTTGCGTGCTTGTAATTAGTTCAGCCAATTATAAATATATACAGTCATCAATCTTAACCAGAGACTATTTCTCTAACATTTAAATCATGCTTTCCAGTTTTCTATCTGTCAGTTATCGGCTAGCATTCCGGCTTCACTATTTCTGTACCCCTTTATTGGCAGATCCCTTTACAGTCGAATCTTTAGCAGCAGCTTGCTTCTTTGGTTTCTGTGAACCACTTTTAACTTCTTTAGACTTCTTTTCTTTCTTCGGAACTCCCAATGTACTTTTCGTTTCATGTTCAATATTTCCATCCGCAATGGGGCTATTTCCACCGTCAGTTGAAGGCGCACTTTTAGGTCTACTAGATGTTATTCGTTCATCTGCGTTATTTACTGAAACCGAGTCTGACTCGTCAACAGCTATATTAGGCGACTTGTCGTGGTCTCCGCCGGCCGAACTGATTCGGGGCGACGAGACCCAACTGGCTCGTCTGCCGGCGGCGTCTTTGGCCCGGTAACTACTCGGCGCCGAGAGGAAGCCGGCGAAATTATCAATAGTTGGAGGTAGTAACAGATGTTCTGTTTCCTGATTTGGACATTAAAAGATTTATATTTATCATAATAATAATTATTATTTCGTTTTCGTGTATTTTTAAATCAGTTGCAAGCATCAACTGTTATGAAGACATCAAGAAAAAATCAAAAAAACGGTTAAGCCTGCCGAGTGATGCCTCTAATCTTTCTTCTCACTCTCTTTTTTTAAGCTGGACTTTTTTGGATTCTTAACTCTTGTGTTATTTGATACCGCAAAAATTTGATTAATAAATAATCATCACTTTGTTGAAATATCGTTGATGAAACGTTGCCGGCTTTAACCATTGTGTAAAAAAGAAGGTTTTCCGGTTGCTGTCTAAGTAGCAGAGAATGTTTCAATCAAACAGACTTTTAGATTCAAATATAAAATAATAAATAATTATCGGAACAAAAGCGAATACTCGAAATCTCCTTTTACACATTTTACTGGTTCGCAAAAAAAAGATTACTTCCAAATACAAACTACCACACACCCTTTATGATCATTTCAGACACATGTTTTTGCGAAGATAAATATAATCCGTATTATATTTCCATACATTTTGATTTGATTCCATTGAAGCGTTTAGAAAATGGACCATTTTCAGTTCACGTGGGAACTTGTTCACAGTGTGTTGGTTTGTTCATACCTTGGCTCCTTTGTCTTTTCCACCTGGCGCCCCTTTCTTTCCGTCTTTTCCTTTATCTGTGCCCTCCAATGCTTTCTGTCTGCGCTTTTGTTCCTCTCCTAGAAAATAATGCAAAACATCTCAAATCAGGTGGACAGGAAGAAAATTCAGAAAACATAAAAGCCCCATTTGCGTTTATTCAGCAAAGCCTATCATAAATGATAAAAGAGGCGAACTTAAAATCATGAAAAAATTATAGGCGCCATGAAACGATTGAGTTTTTTTCTCAAATTAAATTAGCACATCGGGTAGAATTCTCTTTCACTTGGGTGATAATTCAATAGTTTTTCAATATAGCTTGCAGGGGCGGATTTATGGGAGGGGGGTTGCTTTCTCCTTAGGGATTCGACCCCCTCACCAACCAAAGGGTCCCCGCTTTGGTATTATTTTATGAAATCCATTTTAGGCCGACCAACTCCAAAGGCGCTTGCCAAAAAAAGCAAGTTTTTGGTCAAAATTTTCCAAAAAACGCCTCTAAACAGCTTTTTTGACCTTTTTTGCGGCGCAAAATGTTTGGTCAAAATTGGGTCTTTTTAATGCTCTGGGAGTGCTCGGAAAGTCAATTTGGTCGACTTAAAAAAAAGTCGACAAAATTTTCAAACATTGTTTGAAAATTTGCCCCCTTCGAGAAAGTCGTAGACCCGCCCCTGATAGCTTGAAACTTTAAAACAAAAACGTGCTTTTGAATTCACTCATGATTTCGAATGAATGGTTGAATGAGTGAAATCACTTGAGCAATCGGAAAAGAGATGGTCGCGGCTTTGATAATGGAACTCAAACTTAATTCAATCGATGATTCTTACTTTGCTCCACAATGAACACTGCAGAAAAGATCAGAAATCAATTACTGCAATAGATTCAAACTAAACTTTACAAAAAATGATTAAAAAACTCAAAAGTTAATTAAAATTAGAGAAAAAAAACGAAAAGTATCTCACGTTCTCGTTGTTTGATGGCGAAACCCAATGGTTTATCATCTGAAACATTAAGAAAAACTAGTTTGCTATCAATCATAACTAAATAGAGACGAGATTTGAGATTTTAGGAGAGTAAGTTATTCACATAATTCGGGTGGCATGAGGAATTCGACGTCCGGGAGTGCAAAGGAGTTTCTGAGAGCCATGGAGGAACTGACGATTCCATCGCAGATGCGGGACACACTCGAGTACCTAAAGAGAAATGAAAACAGTTATAGTGAAGTCATATTGCGGCTGAATTGAACAATAACCGGAAATAGTAGCCAATCGCTGAATAATTAAATTTTGGTAGCCTCTTTTGCCTTAAAATTTTACCAATTTTTTTTCAAGCTTACATTTTACAACACCCTATCCAGCTATTTTTTGAGCATATAAAATTTTTATCCATTGATTTACTCCTTGATATACAACTCTATCGCGCCTACTATTCAGAAAAAAATAAAAAAAGTGGAGTCGCAATTAGTTGAACAAAAATGGTGTCAAAAACCGAAGCAAAAAAACATCCAAAACTAAACTACTTGTAGTTTTTCGGACCAAAAGTGATTGAAAGCATCTGTGAAGCAGTAGCAGACTTGTACTAACACTAAGTGATACAGTTCCTCGTTGGTTGTTGGTCTGTCGATAGGAGTTGTCAGTTTGTACACGTTGTCATTGAATTTCTTGAAAATCTTTTCACGCTGTTTTTCATCCTCAATCTCCAGAATTTTCTAGAACAATCCGGAAAAAAAACAGTCATTTTTAACATTTTCTACGGCCATATTCTGATTCTTGTTATTTCCTGGCATCTCAAAGGATTTGTTTTCCACGGAAACATACTTCCAGGTAATTGGAAACTTTCGAAACTGTTCGGAAGTTCGTTTGTCTCAATAATTTATTTAAGTTAATTTTGCATACCTCTCTGATGGTGTTTAGGTCAAGATCCCAAACTACATATTCCTTCTCTTCTTCTGGGAAGAGGTCACGGTAGAAGTTCGTGAGGTCAACTAGCTTCTCATTGACCCCGCCCGCGAGCTGAAAATATAACAAATAAACTAAGAAAAATTAACAATTTTTCAAAGATATTGATTGCAAAGAAAACATTTGAAAAATGTATTCCAAAACATTGTTGGGTGTTAATCTAAACATTATTCAGGTTATGAGTTCGGATTTATACATTTCTGTTGGGGGAATTGAAGTTTCATGATGGTCTTCTAAATTACCTTGAAAACGTTTCGGAGCTGAAAGTATTAATGTGCAGCAGGTGAACTAACATTGAACTAGTGGTATTGAATTTTTTAAATACAGATGCCAAGTGGACTTTGCACCACTTTCGATACAACACAAGCATAAAAAACATAATAAGTCGAAAAAAATGAAAAAAAAAACTAGGTGAACCAAAATTTTCGTGCCTCGAAAAAAAAACTAGGTGCACAGTTAAACGTGGAAGTACCTATTTGATATTTTTTGTATTTTTCTATACTGATGTGGGTAAATTTGAAAATTTCAAACAATGGACTTTGCCCAAAACGTTAGTTGTTTCTCTACTAAAAATAAGTTTGGAGTTTTCCCAAGGACATTTTTTTCAAAAAAGTAACGAGACGCCGCTTCTGCATGAAAAAATCTCGCAACCAGTTCTTTCGATCGAACCTTTCATCCCACATTTGATAGGGTAGTTTTGAAGAAAAGTAAAAAAATTTCTAAAAAACGATCCAAATCTATAATTTCTTTCTGCAAGAAGTTTGACAATTTTGAAGACCAAAACTTTTAAGATGAAAAATTGGGACTGTCCACTTATGCAGGAAGGCTTTCAACAACCTGTTGTTTCGATTAAACCCTTGATATCAAATTGGCAGAATTATTTTTGAGAAAAATTTCTGAGAAAATTGTTGCAAAAAAAATTCCAAAGCGTCTCAAGAAAATTAAAAAAATAATTAAACCCAATTCCATAGATTTTCAAAATACCTGTTTTTATCAAACAGGAACTCTGGGAAAACATTTTATTTTAAATTAGCAACGAAACAAAACTTATGAAGCGGAAACAAAGCCGACATTCTTTGAGCAGAAACCAGTTGAGCCGATTTTTTTTAAACAAAAAACATGAAAAGGTTTCAAGTCTCCCTTGAAAAATCCGTGACGCGGCATCTAAGCCAACAAAACTTAATCAGTCAAACGAATTCCTGTAATTTTAACCGGAAAAAAATTCGATGCATGATGAAAAAACAAGCTCCTGTCGGGACTCAGCCCCTAGACCTTTGGATGCTAAAGCGACCGCGTTACCTAGAGGCCAGAAGGGAGGGAACCTGGAATTTGCTAAGGTTCAATGTTGAAGTAAGTGCAAATTCTAGTAAGAGAAGTTGTTTACGGGAAAAAAGTCTAGTTCCCGATTACAAGACACTTGAAATTTGAAAATTTATCTTCATTGTAAATTCCCTTATCGTTCAATAACCCATATGCGTTTCCGGCCATTTTAATTACTCAAGGTAAAATTAGTGGTATGAAAAGTGCACCGTATGCAATAATCTAAACTGAAAATATAACCCAGTTATGTGTAAAAAGCAGCCACATGACCTGGATCTGTGCCCGGTCGCTGACCGAAGCATGACCTTTTGTGTGCTGACCTTGAGCGTGTGCGATGTGACTCACCCCTGGATTGATGCGTTCGAACTTCTCTTCGTCTGTGAGAAGTGCATCCAGAGGAGTGGGAGGGGGTCGAGTAGCCTGCAGGGCATCCACTATATTCAACAGCAGGTTCTTAGAGATACTGGCCGCAGTGCGCTTCGCCAACATAGCCTTAAAACATATATTTGTTTACTGTTGCCCGGTAACGCATTTCTAGAAATATTTTTGTTCGCCTCTTAAGAAAACCATTTAGATTGAATTTGAACTTGAGATGAAAAATTTAAGATTAGAATATGAATAACCAAATTAAAAATATCTGTATGCAACAATGCAACAAAAACATGTAACAATATTCAGCAATTTGATTTATTCTATTTGTTTACAAATCCCCTTAGCAAAGAATTTCTAGCCCTGTAAATTCGTATACTTAAATGGTGCGGCTAATAGTTAAGACTATTGCACCAAGTAACTATTTTCTTCCTTTTGCAATGGTAGGGGGTGGGGATAAAAAAGACTGGACTATTTGCGTGGAAATCACCCACCGACAATTCGTCTCTGACTGGCTTGTACTTGTCTACCATGATGGCCACGCCCTTCAATGTCACAATAATCTTCGCACCCCCACACAGTTTGGGAGTGGTGTTCATCTGCCAGTTTTCACTGAAAATGCCTGGGTTGTCGCTTTTGAACACGAAGGGGAACAGGAGTTTCTGTCGGGGCAGGATGACACTGGGCCCAGTGTTGAAGTAGAAGCGCTGTTGTAGGACGTCGGTTGGTTTGTCAAACGGGTTGTACCGTTTTTCTCTCTGAAAGTATAGCTTTCAAGTAAGGAGATAAAAAAATTGATGTCTTAAATGTTTCTTTGACTCCGATCTTAAACTTTAGTATTAATTTATGTTTGTAATGTTTTCCCAGCACAAAGTTGAGCTCTCGACCCTCAAACGTTTTGTGACCTCATCCATTCATTCGTTACACGTATCTCAGCAATAAGATACCAAAAAAGGTCCAAAGGTCTTGCTTCAACTAAAAAAGAAGAGTAGACTAGCACTTACAGTCCAGTTGAATCTGACCACTGTGGATCCATAATTGATGACTTCGAGCCACGAAGTGACCTGGTCCCCCTGATTGCCATCAAATATAACCCTACAAGAGGCACCTATCTCCTCCACCCTGCTAGTGTCATCCTTCTCCCACACAGCTGAAACCCCGCCTACCCTGAGGGCGGGTCCATTCACGTATTTCTGAGAAGAGGACGTGCCTCGGGATTTGGGAGGACTTTGAGTGGGACTGATAATGTTGACTGATTTGGACTCGACGCTTAAAATTAACCAAGTTCTCACAAACATAAAAAACCAGCATGTCAACTTCAGAACTTATATAATATGACCAATTTGACTTTCGTAATTAGAAAAAAAAAACGTAGATAAAATTCTCCAAAAAAAAAACGATTTCCATTTTCACCATGAAACAGCGTTTTTTCTTTCCATGTGTTGATGGAGTTAGAATATGAACTTTAAAAGAAATGAAAAAATAAATAAATAAATAAACCACCATATTGCAAATTTGAAGACTTGTTCCTGAAAAAAAAATGCTGCATAAAAAAAATTCGTCATTGATGCTTTAAATTTCAATGCATTTCCATGAGCTTCAGTCAAAATTCCGTTCAAAAATTGCACTCACTTTTCGTCTTGATTTTCGTAGAAGTCATCCGGGAGGTTCTCTGTGCGTGGACTCTCCATCGCAATCAGAGTCACGTGACCCCCCGTTGAGACTCTGGTGCCTGTCTTGGACACGGCGTGTCTGCTGGCTACATGAGACTGGTTGTTCAAGGTCTCACTATTCTTCCCACGAATCATCAGCTCATCGAAGTCCTAAAACATTTCTGGAAGTTCAATTGGAGTGAAAATCTCAAGATCTGAGTTAACTAAATTGGTGTCCGCACATGTGTCATATGGGATATTTTGCCACCGGATATTATGAAATATTAAATTTTTTGCAAGATAGGATCTTATGGCACAGATATGCCATATATACAAATTTCTCCGTTTGGTTTAAAATATCAACTGGAATGTTAAAAACGGAAAAATTCTCTGAATGAAAACCTCCTTTGCTGGTGTGTTGGGGTCCACTTCGTGTATGATCTGCTGCAGCTGCCTGAGTCTCTTGGCCAGGAACTCACCATCCTGCCAGCCACGTCTGCCTGGGGGAATGTGCACATAGCCTAAACAAGAAACGACATACATAATATGCAAGTAGCAAATTTAAAAAAAATTCAAACTTGGCCAACAGATATAAAAACATCAATTTGAAGAACAGATGGCCCATATCAAAAGAAACGTGCATATCCATATCGGTAGACCAAACTTTTAAAAATTAAACAAAATAAATGTCACATCAAAACTCTTTGAAGCCTAAGAAGAGCTGCTATGATTCAAGATGTTATATATCTAATCTACATAGCGGCATAAAAGCGAGATCAATAGTACCTTTTTCCAGTTGAATGTCGTGTGGCATCCCTGTGTGTTCGTACACTGGAGGATATCCTTTCTGAGTTGCGCCAAGAGTAAATCTAAAACATGTGCCAATTGAAAACGGTCAAAAATAACTGAAAAACTGCAATTTACTTGTACCTCTTACAAAAGTTAGCTAAGATCGCCAAAAGAGGTGAAGAGAACATTTCATGGTAATTTCCTTGAACAATAGCCGTTACATAGCCAGTATATGACAGACATGCATTTCTAATGAAAATCTACCCACGGTGTAATAAGTAATTAAGACGATTTATCCACAAGGGAAAGGACCAACATACGAGCTGAACAGCTCATCACAACGAGCCGCTGTTGTGCCCCTGCTTAAGATTTACACGCAATTTTTTGATTATTTTTCTGGGCTGGGTAATGTTGCCTCACCCTCAAGCAACGAGCACGTAATTATAACAAGTAAATATCAATGACGACATCAATTTAGAAAAAAGGAAAAAAATTCCCCGCTTCCCTTCTCTCTTAAAAACCTTAGACATGACCCTGGTTTGTGTATCAACTTACTGTATTCCTGTCTCTTCGGATCCTACACACTGGGGCTGGTTCCAGAACTCACTGCCTACCCTGTATCCCTTTCCGTCGTCTATGAATGCGAGGTTCCTGTCTATCTGATTCAACACTTCGTTCCTCTTCCTCGCTCCATCTCCCAGGTCCATCAGCAGTTCCTCCTGAGGTCGCTTCAGTTTGTCTACAAAGTTGAACTTGTTTTTAACTTCAATTAACAGCCAATTTTTTGGTCACAACATTTGGCCACTTTTTTGGTCACAAACACTGGTCTTTTTCATTTGGCATAATTTGGTATAATTGGTATAATTTGGCCTGCTCTTAGCCAAAATATGACTGCGGTGCAGATAAAATTAGGAAAATAGGATATTTATAGTGTTCCTAGAGTGGTCGGAAAATAGATTTGATCAATCTAAAAAAAGTTGATAAATATTCCCAGATCCGTCCTTGCAAAAATTACAAAACTAATGTAAACTTTAAGTTCTGAAGCAGTTTACTTCTGTCAATTAATTTCACACTTCACAGTTCCGCGGAGAAAGCAAACAATCTAAGTTTCGTTAAAATCAAATTCTGAGAAAACAGATAAATTAGTGTTGCAAATATGTAACACTAAGTTGCCAGAAAAAATGCTTTTGGTTTTTTTTCAAAATTGCAAAAAGTACCCAATATTGGCAAATAAGTGCTAAGAACCGACTTCAGAAAAATTTAAATTGCCAAAGAAAAATTTAAATAGTTTCGGAAAAATTTGAATTGATGCCAAAAAATTTTATAATTTTATTGAACAATTTAGTCTTAAATTTCAATTTTTATTTTTGTTGAATCGACATCACTGTTCTGGAGGATCTGAATTTATTTCCAAAGAACTTCTATGGTTGTTGCACAAACTCCCCATTTCCTGACCTCTAGCTCGGTTTGATTATACAATCAAGTTATATGGAAACAGGTCAGACAATTTAAACTTTTCGCTCACTTTTCAGATAGTCGCGGTGGACTCTCCGTTCGTTCATCCAGTCAGTCCAGTGGTTCATGGCTGCCGCATCCTGGCTCTGAAAATAATTCATCAACTGATTTCTAACAAAAATTGTTTTAACAATTGTTCTGGCTGTATTGTAGTCAATTAACCTTAATTTTTTGCGAAACAATTTATCGCAAAGTTGTTGATCGAACAGATTGATGTTTGTTACGACAACGAAATGGAAAAGAGCTTTGTCTTCGGATGAGTTTTAGGTTTGGTCTTCGACGCAAAATTAGGCATCACAAGTAAATATCGGATAGAGTCAAGTGATATATCATATTGAAGCATTTCCAATCGTGATTCGATCGCTATTTTTAAATTTTTCGAAAAAGTGTCCAATGATTCCAGAAAAAGAAGTTTGAAAAATTTTATTTTAAGTCCAAATTATTGCGAGTAAAAGCAATCAAGTAGAGCTCGAATCAGATAAGTAGTTTTAGTAGTTTAAGTAGTTTTACAACCAAATTCTTAGCAGCTAAAAATTTAAACTTTTGTAGCCTAAATTAAAGCTTCCCCGTCATTTTACGTTCAAAACTAATTTTTGAAGAAAAAAATTGTTTTATGCTTTCAATTCTTCATTTTGCAAAGGTAACTATAAATAATGAAATACATTTTTAATATTCTATGAAAAAGTTGTCTCCTCGCATCACATCCAAAAAAACATCAGAAATTGAAAAAAAAATGAATAACTGTGGCCGGAACCTCTGCGCTATTTGCTCAGAAAGCTATTCTTGTTGGCATCTTACCTGTCCGATGTTTGCAGTGGACAGTGCTCTTTGCTTTTCTATTTCCTTCTGACTGGTCGTCATCTGCCCACTTTTATGTCGACTAAGAGGTCTCAGTGAGGTCTATAACAAACTCATGCTTAAAGAAGAAACTTAAGATATGTGAAAAAGTATTAGCAAAAGTTGTGTCTCTCGGTGATGAAAAAGACAATTTATTTTCAGTTCAAACAAAATATTTTTGTTCCACAGATGTTCCATCTTAATTTTGGTGTTCAAATGATGGAGATAAAAAGCGTGAGGTGAAATGAAATGGTTTCTAAAATTTGAGGGGGAGGTGAACACAAAAACCACCAAAAACAACAAAACAGCTATTTTTTCTTAAAACTCATCAGCGATGCAGAATTTTGTCGCAATAATGAATTTTTTCAGGGTCTAGAGAGAACTAGAAAATAACGTCAACTTTAAGAAAAGCCGATTTGAAATTCCGAAGGTATCGTTAATGTCCCTCGCAGGAACCTTGACATAAAAAAAAAGAAAAACTATAATACTTAAACTATAAGCAACATTATATAATATCTACCGGCCCCTCAGTGCGTCTCTCCTGTTCCTGGTAGAAGTCGATCTCCTCGCCTAGGATGGAGTGGGGCATGAACTGTCCATTGAGACTGTACTGGGGTCTACCCACCTTCTGCACCTGGGAGGGGGACACCTGCCTCACAGGCGCATCGGGGTCAGCCATCTTCGCCACTAACACTCTAGGATGAACAGTTAAATTCGCAGACCGTTGAAAATGGACAGGAATTGTCTTCGCGTGTGTTATAAATTTTTTTCAGGCAACGTGGAAACTTAATCCTACTACAGTAAAGTTAACATGCAAACTTTTTAGCGCTTTTTGGGGATAAAGCTTAGAAAATTTCTGCAAAAAACTGAATTTTTTATTTAAAAAAAACTATTTTATGAGACAGACTAGCCAAATCAACTTAATTTGCTATCAATATCGAACTTCTAGACTTTGGATCAGATCCTTTCATCCCAACACGAACAAATAACGACGCAATTTAAAAAAGCTACAGTTTTTTATTATGGTCGGAATTTTCTGCGCTACTAGCACAGCAAGCGGCTATCCTTGTTTTGCTTGCACTTTTTGAGTGCACTTAGCATTTATAGTTATTTTAGCTTCTAGATATTTTTTAACGAGCGTCGTTATAAGTATTGATACAAAACTTGAAAAAAAATAAAGAATAGGTCAAAAAAGTTGGATAAAAACTTGAAATAGCAATCAAAAACTGTGAAAACAAATAAACCCATTTTGAAAAAAAAATTGTATTATCACGAGCAATATTAGGAGCATCGGTTGTTTGAATCATCCGCACAGAACGAGCTAAACATGAAACGAAATCTTAGCAATATTGAGGTCTTTTAGGACAAAAACTATTGAAGACAATTTCTTCAAAATTTTACTAAAATTAAATCATTTTTGTAACTTGTTAGATAGTTTTCTTGAAAATTTCACCAAAAAAAAACGCATTTGCTTTTGCGAAATATGCATCCAAAATTCACCCCAAAAGTTTAAGATCCAATTACTTGATCATAAATTATGCAAAAAATACTAGACCTATTTAAGAAACCCATTGCAGAATAATAAGCGTCTTACTATTTGCAACAAATTTTAAAAAGGATATTGCCTGAAAACATTTATTTAAAAAACATTTGATTTAAAAGCCAAAATAAGCCGTATTTTCTTCATAAAATGAACTGCACCCTTTTGAAATTCCAGGTTTTACAGTGATGATTTAAACTATCCGGACAAGTAGATATTGTGATCCAAATCCGAAGCTCAAATGAAAAAAAATCGGGAGTGTTGGGAGTTTCAAAATTGCTAATTTAGCCAATTTGATATAATTAACGCGCAAAAGCGGCAAATTAAATCGGTTCAAAATGATTTGAGGCGGACTCTTCGGCCTTAAATTTAGGACAGACGCTAAAAAAGCCCTTTACAGTTCACATTAACGTGTGAGGGAATAAATTGAAAAAAAAAACAAATTTACAATTGTTTCATCTGATTAATTGATTATTTGAACGAACAACATTTAAATTGACCTGAAGCGCTGTCGGAACACAATTTTTGTCATAATTTTGTCTTGATATACAAGCAGGTTTGTTGCTTCCAATGAGCCAAATCGTAAATATTATATGGCCAACAGACAGTTGGAAAAGAGTCAATGAACGCAATTAAACAGAAAAAAAAACGACTTTCGTTTTTCAAAGAAAAAAATAGATGCCCTTAAAACTCTTCGAATTTCGAAAGCAATTAAGATTGATTTTTAAAATAAATTTGACCGAATGTGAAAAAATGGATCAAAGGTAAACTTTTTATTTCGCTGGGAAATCTGAAAAAGAAAATTCCATTTTCGAAACTAGAGGACGATCACGTTTTTCGTGACCTTTACACGTTTGCTGTTTGATAGTTGAGTTAGCAAAGAAAATGAACTGAATTATAAAAAAAATCAAAAGTCAAAACCGCGAAAAAAAAGCACTTGAGCCTGAACAAATTTTCAGACTTTTCCTGGAAAAAAAGTTCATCGCGACCTATATAAGAGTCTGAACTACGTTCATCGACTCTTAAAAACGTTTTAAGATAAATTATATATTAAAACATCACTAAGCTGCTGATTGCACTAGAAGCAATAACTCCATCTGTAAATTTTGAAGGACTCCTTTCATATCTTTGTTTACGAACTGAACTTGATTGAATTTGCGGGATTTTCTATTCAAGCTGACTTGTCACCCTGTTTGAATGTGAAAGCAAATCGTGTTTCGATTAGTTTTCTCTTTCGTCTTTAAAATTTTTGGCTCAAATGGCTTTTAAATTACCTCACAAAAAAACTTTTGAACGTGATTTTAGTTAAAACATGCTCATATAATAGATAAACATAGGCAAAGTTTTATTTCGCATAAACTATCGAAACAATTCAATCATAAAAAACTTTAACAGCTGATGCTGATTTTAAAAAAAGTATTTTTGCTGGGATAAAAACACTTTCCTTTAGAAGAGATCAAAAACATTTGATCAAAATCTCCTGCAAAAACTATTGCTTTTTTGCTACACAACTACAGAAGTTCAGAAGTTTTATTAATTTTCAGATAATTAGAGACGCCAGAATAAAAACAGCTCGAACTGTACAAAAAAAGAGACAAAATGAATACTGCCAAGCTATCCTGAACTATATTGAGTATATACTTTTCTGAGTATATTCCTCGATATTAATTTCATAAACAGATATTTAAAAAAAAACATCTCTTTTTAGTTTTCGTCCTTCTGAAAGTTGTTGTCCCGGCCAGTCAAAAGCACGAAAATATCGCCGCATTGACATTTGTAGTGCCCATAAATTATTATTAATGCAAATTGATCTGTGATTTGAAGTAGACAAAAAAGATCCAAAAAATCCTGTTTCAAAAAACATTGGTCTTCACAAAATAAAGTTCAACTTCTCAAAATAAAGTATGGTGGGGCAGCGGATGAAAAAGGATAAGATTCTCAATCTAATTTTGAAATTAGTAGTTTTTATGTTACAATATGGTAGAACTTACTGAGATTGAGGCCATGACAGGTTATGCTAACTGCATAGCAACCAATTACTCTTGATTTTAAATACAACCTTCATGTTCAAGTAAATGGCAATTTCATCACTCACGTCTGCTTGTGCCTCTCGGAGGCTGGCTTGAGCTTCCTCATCTTCACATTCACAGAAGGAGGCACTGGCTCCTTCTCCGGAATCACGATCTCACGTCGAACCTACAGACACACTCAAGTAGAACTTTTTGGGTTTTAGATGTACACAAAAGAACAGGCGTGTTTAAATGTGATACATCTTTTTAATTTTTGTCACTCATTAATGTTTAGTTTCAATTTTGTCACTCAATGAGCTCAGTGAAATAATGCAGTTTTGTGATTATAGCACGTTCATAAACTTTGAAATGAACACTTCTTCAAAATTTTGATTAAACGCCAAAATATTCCATGACGTTCTCATTGACTCGTTGAATATACTGTTTCAATCTTCTTTAAAAATGCATCGCACAAAAAATAACCCTAAACCATCGCCATTGCTCTTACCTGTTCCAGTTTGTCAATCGTCACTTTCAACTCGGCCAGATCGGCCGGCAGTTCCTCCCCGGCAGCGCCCTCTCCCCGCTCACCCACCGCAGAGTCCCCCTTCTTCAGCTTTGTCTTGTTCTCTGAAGCAGAGGTGCTATCAGTCGGCGCATTCATAGACGAAAAAAGACTGAGAGCCGAAATTTTAGCCAGGCGCACTCGAGTTTTGTACTCTTTCTTAGAAGTCGCAGTTGTCATTTCATGGATAAATTACCAAAACTTATTTTAAAAATTGAAGCGGAATGAAACGTGGTATGGTATAAACAGAAATAAAAAATGCAAAATTTTATTTAAAATTAAGACACAAAACAAAGAACTGCAAAAAGAAATAAAAAAGATGAAAATGTTTCAAAAAGAGTGCGCGCGTGTAAAAGGAACTTCTGTGAATTTTAAATCAACGGCTTCAAGTAACCAATGCAAACACCTGCACTAAAAAGAAGAAAGGCCATTATACAATGCCCCTTCCGTTTGAGGTAACTGCCAAATGTCCATCTATTAAATAATTTGCTTTGATATTACGTAATATGCCTCTTTAGCGATTAAATACAGCTTAACTCTGACGTTCAGAAGTGAAAAAAAATTGGCTCTCATCAGGAACAAAGATTATTTTAGATTTTTTTGATAAGCGGTAAAAAGCCAGACAGTCGACGAAGACATGAAGCAAACCAAGAACAAAAGTAACCTTAAAACAGATTTAGAGTACAACTAAAATTACTATAACTCAAATCAGATTCAAACCGTTTTGAAAACTAATGGCCATAGAAAAATCAGCGGTGAATTAATCCACGTTTTTAAAATATTTGTGTTGAAAAGCAACCGCATAGTTTCTATTCTTGTTATATAAAATGTTATTGTTCCGACCATTTAAAAAATGAGAAGGATCTTTGTATTCGCGTGTTTTAGTTTTTTTTGTTTTGTTTCCCACGCAAAATCAGGTAGCACAAATAATCACCGGAATGGGTAGAATAATCTATGATAATAAAGTCTTTTCAGTCCTGATTCGAACTACCCTAAACAATTTTTCAAAAAATTGTCCCAGCATCGAAAAAACAGATTTAAAGTTTTTGTTCCGACTTTCGATACGAAAGTAACGGAATATTTGTGCTCGGTGTGGGTTTTTTTTGTTCTTCAGACAAATTTCGACTTTTTAACTCGCCATTTTTGACGCAATTTTTTTTATATCATTCAAAAGCTATTGCTGTCCTGAGCTTGAATTTGAAAAGATATTTCACCTGTGATCATTTTTCGTAAAGTTATGGGGGTTTAAAGATTGCCATTTTGGCCAATTTTGGACATTTAACGCGCGATAAATTTCGCGCTATTAACGCGTAAGCGAGATTTAATCCGTCTTAGAAATTGTTCCAAATTGGTTCAAGGAAGCTTATATGCCATCATTGATTTGTTAATAGGCGCAAAATCTATCACTTTGTACTTAATATGACGTGTGGGGGGATGTTTTTCATAAAAAAAGTTCAAATTTTAGAAAAAACATTCAATTTATTTTATTACATTTATTTTTTTTTGTTATTACTGCTCCATAAACCTCAAAAGGCAGTCGGAACATTCAGGGCTTCGCCCTGATACGAGCAGTGTTGTTCGAATTGTGTTCTTTTTAACGAAGTTGCCCCTCCCTTTTGCATCTTGATGAAAGTTAACAAGATCTAAAGTTCCTTGGAAAAATTTGACTCTTGAATGTAAAATATTTTCAGAATCAGGGCCCTGAATGTTCCGACTGCCTTTTAAGGTTTATGGAGCAGTAGTAACATAAAAAAAATTAAAGGTAAAAAAAATAAAATGAAAAAATAAAATTCTAAAATTTGAAGATTTTTCATGAAATCATCCCCGAACACGCCATATAAAGTACTAAAGAACAAATTTCGCTTATTGTAACAAATCAATTATGGCAAATAAGCTTATTTTAACCATTGTGAACAATTTCTAAGACGGATTAAATCTCTGCTTACGCGTTAATAGCGCGAAACATATCGCGCGTTTATTGTCCCAAATTGACCACAATGGCAATCTTTAAACCCACATAACTTTACAAAAAATAATCAAAGGTGAAATATCTTTTCAAATTTAAGCTCAAGACAACAATACCTTTTGAATGACATAAAAAAATTTCCGTCAAAAATGGCTAGTTAAAAAGTCGAAATTTGTCTGAGGAAAAAAAAAACCCACCCCGAGCCGAGCACAAATATTCCGTTACTTTCGTATCGAAAGTCGGAACAAAAATTGATGCGTTTTCAGTCCACTTATGCAATATTTGCATAATTAGCTCACTTTATTTCAATTTATATTTCCAAATTTTTACTGCCTACGCTATGCGCCAAATTGTTAATGCGCAAACTACAAATGCGCCAAATTGTTAATTTTATACCCTCGTAACTTTACAAAATATCGCAAATGAAACATCTTTGAAATTTTGAGATGAAAACTGCATATTTTAAGACTGCATAAGATTTTGGTCAAAAATTGTTAGTTTGAAGGTCGATATTTGTCCAAAAAAACACCCGAGCACAAATATTCCGGCTTTTTCTTCAAAACAACAAGGATACTCAGACATTTTGTTGAAATATTCTACTTTAATGAATTACTGAGGTACGCATTTCATTTTTTTAGTCAATCAACCCGGAGGCCTAACCCGTAGGGTTGATTATTTAGGTTGACACAAAGCGCATATAACCAGCGCACGAGCAATTCGAACCAGCAATTATATGATTTCTGGAAACCATCACTACCGGAGCGCCACAATAAAAGCCTTTTGTTTGGTTCAAGAAAACTCGAAAATAACTTTTTCTAAAAAAAACAATAAGACAAACGTGCTTGAACTGTTTTTGAACCGAATCGACCAAAATTTGATTTTTTAAACTTAACAAGATTTATGGAGGGTCTGCCTATCATTACGCGGTAATCAATTTTAGCGCGCATGTAAAGCTAATGAAAACTTTAATAAAAAACGTTCTAAAAGTAGAACACGCGTTCACTAATTGCCAATGCCGTGTTTGAAACCAAAGGCGGCAATAAAGTAAATCAAAGGTACAATTTTAGTTGCGCATGTTAATCGGGACGCATGCTTTTTGCTACGCTCCTGGACATATGCTTCATTCAATACGGCCAAATATTGATATTCTTTCAAATTTCAATTGCCCTAAACTTGCGTCTCAATCGCGGTTTCTCAATCACAAATAGTAATTGTCTCAGCTTTGAAAGTTAAACATTTAGTCAAATATATTGCGTGACAATTGAGCTTGAGTTTTGCGATAAAAACTGAAACGGTGATCTTTATATAACAACAAAAATGCAGACTGTATCTTACTTATGCCTGAAAAAAATAATCTTTTTCACAAAAAAAAACAGACTCGCTGAACTAAAATGGCTTTTTACGCAAAACAATTTAGTGTGAAAATAACATCTACTAATTTTTTTACTCAGAGGCAAAGCTGAGTCAAACAACTTACTCAAACAACAATCGAAAAAAAACCACAAGTAAAAACTCAATTGTTGCCTAGAATGATGTACAATTTATGGAAAACACGCCCAGAAACCCAATCAACGGCTTTTAATAAAAAATCAAAAACAATTATCGAGCGGCTACTGAGTCAATAAAACTTGAAGAAATTCCAGTAGAGCCGAAACCAAAAGTTTTGTCCTGAAAAACTTTGCAACATACATTGTTTGCTAAAACTTTTAGTACTTTGTTCGATGCGGAGCGGAGGATATGAATTGTTTTCCATAAAGCGACCAAAAATAAGGTCATTTAGTCGATAAAAAATAGGCCGAAATACATCGGCCCAAACAAAATTTTCAAGCAAAACAAAAAAGGAAATACGATATCAAGGCTAGTAAAATTACAAACTGCAGGAGTAAATCAAAACATTAAGAGCAACTTCAATGAAAATTGCACACAGCAAAAAAAACTATTCTAAATTGCGACAACGAAGCCCACAAAACATAGCCGACAAACAATCGGCTGAAAATTTATGTGAAACAGAACATTTCCCGTTTGAAAAAAAGGTCCTGATCAGATTCGAACCCGCTTCCTTTGCTGTCCCTTACCTCCAGGCTTCGCGTACTAGAGACGCTAAAAAATTCAATTCATTGTGAACAAAGGTAAAGGAAAAGAGTCCAATTAATCGTGAGCGCAATGTTTGTTACGGGAAAGAGTGTATGGCAACCGATTGCAATTCCCTTGCTAATTGCAAATGTGATTATTACACCGGGTGATTATTTACAACTTAAATCAGTTTTTTATTTTTTGATCAAAATTGTGCGTATTACGACTTTGGAACTTTTGCCATCATCTTGATGATGCTTCTTCAAACTGCTTCAAAACAAACAGCTTCAAAATGAACGTTACTAGAATGCATGAGATGCAGATGTCTTGATAATTTTTTTAATGATTTCATTACAGTTCTAGGCTCTGCAAATTAATCAAATACACACATAATCAGGGATGCGTAAAAATATATTGCGGTCACAATATATTGCAATATAATATATTACAATAATTGATTGTCAGCTTTCATACAATACAATAATTGATTGTCCTGTCGACAAAATAGTGTAACAATATGATCAAAGCGTGCAAACACCGCAACTGCCAGTGATTGGCCGGAAGTGTTGCTGACGCAAATTGACTCATTTCAGCCATCACTTGGTTTCAGAGCACAGCCATGCCTAAAGCCTTTGACTGCACTCCCCATACGAGCAAACAAATTGCGAATTTCTATTTCACCGCCCTTGGGGGAGACCAATTTGAATGCAAATGTGGGAACAAGCGAATGCAGAAGTTATCTGCTGGGTACAATAACCTTCTTGTTCACGTCTTTTCTCAGCACCACGACTTCAGAGAAGAAATCAGAGGTGGAGATAATCAGTCACGGCTATCAAAATGTTACTCCAAAAAAGCCACCAACATATACAAGTGCATTGAGTGGATTTTTATGGAAAACCGGGAACACGGATTTTTCGAGAACGATCTTGCTTAATTAGAAAACATCAAATTGTCGCCTATATCACGCTGTTCTGTTACTACTTACATGGGCAAAATCACAGAAGCGGTCGAGATGCAGATATCGAAGGATCTTCCGGATGCTTTTGGTCTTATTCTAGACGGCTGGACGTTTTCCGTACCCAATGTTAACAAGCGTTTTTTATGTTAACAAGCGATTTTGGGAAAATTCTGTTGTGGATAAAATAATTACGCGTACTTGATTTTTTTAACTCACAGTGTTACCCAAAAATAAATTTTCTCAAAGCATCCGGCAATTAATTGCAATTATTGCAATAATTGATTGGTAGGGTAGAACCAATACAATATATTGGATAACGGTTACACAATAGTACTGCAATATATTATTACGCATCCCTGCACATAATTGCCTTAGAAGCACACTTAAACCAATAATAAAATGCATTAAAACTGTTCGTTTCAGGGCAAAACCCTATTTCTTTTGACTGATATTTAACTTCACTGAAATAGTTTTTGATTTTAAAAAACTCTACCGCACGCTTTGAAAAAAAATGAATTTCGCGTCCAGAATGGCATTATCAAGACCAAAAATTTTGCTTCAATTCAAATTGGAATGGTTCTGAGTCTTATTAAAACTGTCAAATAATTTGACTCCGCTTCTCGTCATATGTTAGTACACAAATCGGACTGCATGAGTTTTTTGACAGAATCAAATGCATTGATAGAGAGTTTTTATCAATGCAGCTTTTCACAGAGTCAATGAAAGCATGTAATTACATGCCTTTGTTTTATTTTTGTCGACTGATTTTTAAAAAGTAAATGTTTTTTTTTGCACAGTAAAAAATGTTATTTCGTCCTCTTCAAAAAAAATCTGCCAGTACAATCAAATCGTACAATAATCATCAAGTATGGGATTCAATTTTTTCCCTAGATTCATCTGTAATCGGGAAACTGGTAAGGATTAAAAATAGTTCAGAAAGAATATGAGACACTTTTCAGTTTCTTTCACCAAAACAAAACATAGACCGTCTGTTTTCAAGTCCATTGCTTATCATAAATTCTATTCTACGAAACTAATCAATGTTTTCTATTAAGAAATACAAAATCGAAGTTAGAAACCAACGAGAGATCATTGTTTTAAAATCAAGAAATTGTTCGATATCATCAAAACTAAACTATTGTTTATGATGAGTTAACCCAAAAAGTACCATTCTAAGCATGCAAATCGATTCTTGATTCTTGTCTATATTGTCAAAAACTCAATTGCGTTATAATATAAACATGATTTGTTTGTTACTTAAATTGTATGCGCCGATAAATTTGAGTAAACAGTGACTTTATTACTTTTGTATTCTGTCATTGGAGGAAATGTTTGAATGTTTTTAACAATAAATTCTGTATCACCAGGCGCCAATCATTCTATCTTTTTTTTTCAATTTCGGTATTTTTTCATTTCCACCGTATCAACAAAGAAAAAATTTAAGCAGTGACAAATATTAAAAGGTTGCGAACGATATCTAGTTACTCGCATGCCAGCTGAAAGTCTTCGTCAAAGACATTACCAATTATCCGTTTGATGCAGATATCGATGCCTAAAATAAAATTGACTAACCGCTTGATTTAGGATTTCCTTTAGCCATTCTGCAGAATTGAGATAATTCAAAGCTTCTGAAATGAATCGTTTTCAAGATAAAAAAAAAATCTTGCAAGCTACTGTTACAACGAAAAGAAAAAGTTCTTTTTGTTTCTTTTGAATCTTGAAAAACGCTTGTCACCCGAATCACTCCTTTAGCTACCAAAAATCATTTTGACCATTGGCAAAAAATCAAGATGTTGTATTAGTTTCATACAGATAGCAGCCATTCAAGTTTAAACTTTGCCTCTAAAACTAAAAAATAACGGGAACTTCTTTAATTGAGATTATAATAAAATAATTTGATTTCTTTCTTCTTCTTCTTCAAATAATTTGATTTCATTTTGAGTTTCAATTTGATTTCATTAAGAGTTTTCAAAGGAAGTGTTGCGGCTTTCAGAATTATGAACGGCTGGCTATCTTGACATTATTAAGTCTAATTGCGATACTTGAAAAAGTTAATAGTTGAAAAACTAAACGTGTTGTACAATTTGAAAAAATACCAATTGAAGTTTCTTTAACAAGCAAGCTATTTTTGAATTGTCATTAAAAACGAATTTTATCAATGAAAATATAAATTTCTTTAAATAATTTGGTATATGTTGTTTTTGCCTTCTGACTTCTACATTTTAAAAGAGAAAAGATCTAATGTATTTCCAAGTATAATCTGGGTGTAGGCTTTTTTGCCCTTCTTGAGTAAAACTAAGTCATTAGTCAGCAACAACTGACGGAATCTCAGCTACCAATTAATCATGAAGTGCTGATTGAAACGGAGACAAAATTCAGAAATGCGCCATCAGCAAACAAATCGACGGAAGAAACAAAACATATCCAAATAATCAATCTCATCCCCCTATTCTCGAAAGAAAATATCAAGTCAGCTGAAAATCGGGCGCAGGCATATCGAGTTGTGCTTCCGATATACTGAAACAATTCCCCACAACAATGCAACAGAAAATGACAATCTCAAAAAAAGCTGTGACAAAAGATGACCGCAAACTTCATAACTTGACAGTTATTGCTCCCACGGAAGCAGAGCAATTTTTAAACAGCATTAAAAGCGAAGGAATCATTCTACTTAACTGGACGGTTGTGCCAGTCGGTCATGTCTGGAAGTTTGACCTTGAGAGACACGAAAATACGTAATTTTCGAGTGGAATTTTAATTTTCAAAATTTCGAATGGAGCCTGTCATGCTCAGTTTTCTCGTACCAACTGAAAACAGAAAGTGAAAAATCAGAACATCCGAATTTACAATCGCGGGAAAATACTCAAGAAAAACAGCGGAAAATTGCTATTCGCAATTTCTAGATATAAAATAGGACACGAGTAGAGCTGTCTTATCCCGGAATAGGAAGAGAGATAACAAAACGAAGAGAGAACAACGATTCGGAACAAACTAGAGTGAGCCTTCAAGGGAAAGGTGGACAGCTTGAGTGTCCCAATGGTTCATACAAAAACTCAAATTCTAGAGCCAGAACTTACTTCTGTTACCAAAACTGACCAGTATCAAACTTATTTAGTTATATTACCTAATTCTTGAGTTGCTTACCAATTTAATTACTCCTTGTGCTCGAGTACATCGACATGTGAGTTCCCAATTTAAATTTCTCGAGTGTGTTTTATAATTGTTATGTTGAGATAAGGTGAGTTTTAGGTTGATCCATCTGAAATGGATCAAAGTTCCACTGTCCAATAAAAAGTAACTTAACGGATTGTTCCGACCCTGTTTTTAACGGCGTTCGCGTATTTTGGGTATTTTGAGACCTAAGTATGGGGACGTTCTTATTTTCTAGAGTGGGGGGATATTTTGGTAGTAGCCTTCAAGCTGTAGCGAGTTCTAGTCTCATGTCGCAAGCGAACCGAACTGGCTCCGACCGTTCTTGAGGTAGAAAAACACAAGAGATAGTGTCCCTGACCCTTGAGCTAGTGGTTATAGGGCCTATTTTTCTTAAGCCTCATATGTGACTGCAGTAGGCGACTGTTACAGGTATTTCCCATGGGATGCTTTCCAAAGTCTCATAGACCCATGAAAATTTACCCTAAACTAGCCAAAATCGAATTGTCCAATGTGCCTTATGTAAGCAACGATACTGGAAGATTACAGGAAAACATAATTCATAGCCATATAATCCAAGGTGAGACCTGTATCGCAACTGAACCGGGTCAGTATTTTTTATACAGGAAGAGCAAATTGTGAAAATAAAATACAAAACGAAGAACAAGAGAAAAAGCTGACGGACTGGTCTTATAAATCGAGAATGGGGCTTTAAAATGGGGAAAGGTGTAGAAACCTCGTTTCACATACCTTCACTACATGAATGTCAAAATTGAAAGATCTCTGGACGCCAAAAAAGGTCATCACGGTTATTAGTGCAACATAGGAAACAAAAAAAAAAACAACAATCCCAATAATCAGTCCTCACAAAAACCAAGCTCCAACAATGCCAGCGACGAGAAAAAGATCACGAAACTCACAAGCGATAAATTTTGTAATGGCAGCGAATGGCAGCGAGAAGGATCAGCTGTTTTTGTGACATTCGACAAGAATGGACAAAATGCAATCTCTGCAGATTTTGAATTTTTAGCAGTGAACCTTCCGAGTTAATGATTTTGAAGGATTAACGACGTTATTCGGATGATTAGCAGAACGGTGAAGGTCAGAATATTCCCGTATTTTAAAATTTTACGTAACATTTCTGAGAAACGTCAGAAACGGCCATTTTGGCAAAGATGTCAAAGAAAAACAGAACAACATCTGCATGCCCATTCTAGAGTACCGGTGGTACGGTTCAACGGGAGCGTGTAAACCTTCCGGTTGTACCGTGATAGCTTTTTAAGAAAACTTGAAAAAACTTCCTGGTATGCTCTCCGAACGAGGCCTAGCTAACCGAGTAAGGGGGGGAACTAGGGAAACAAAAACAAGAAAAAAGTATAGAAAAAGAAAAAAAAACCATTAAACGAAAAGACAGTGACTTTGATACCAGATCATTTGGATCAAACCTTCATATTAATCAAATAGTATACCCATACTGTTTTATAAGACAGATCGTTTCGATCCATCTAGCAATTTAAACCAGTGACTCTGAAAAGGTGCCCGAGTGGGGGCGTTGTTAAGGGTTTTCAGACAGATTGCAACCTAGCCGGACCACTAGGAGACTTGACTGGAAGAGGTGACCAGTCGAGTGGGAAAGTGGTTCAGAAGGATCGAACCGGACCACTGGGAGACTTGACTGGAAAGGGTGACCAGTCGAGTGGGAAAGTGGTTCACAAGGATCGAAACGGACCACTAGGAGACTTGACTGGAAGAGGTGACCAGCCAAGTGGGAAAGTGTGCTGCTGTCAAGTACAGAACAGAGACAACCAGCACAAGATTACCACAAGAGGACGCACAGGGGTGTTCTCAAGTTGGGCAACGGGTATCGTTAGAATCCACATTACATTATAGGAGTTAAGTGTAAAATTGGATACGCGGAGTCCCATTGTTTTGAGGAAGTTTTTGCACAAGCAGGCCTGGAAACAGGTCTACGGTTTTCTCTCGAGAGGTTTAGCACCCGGCGCTTAAGGGATTTTTTGGCTTAAGAGGGGGGCTAAAAAGGGGGGAGGTTAGAAGGGGGGCTGGTTAGGTTAGAGGTTAGCGGTTATAAATTGTAAAAAGGGGGGACATTAGAGTAACTAATAGCTCGGCATCGTCGACTTAGTTACATTAGATATTTAAACGCGTTGGTTACAGGAAGCGGATATCTAAAATTAGAATCAGGTTAAGGTAGGTACCCTGGTCGGATCGGTAGGGGGGAACGGACATAGACAGTTTTTGTGATACCCCATAAGATCGCTAGCAGGGGGGAGGAAAACGCGTGGCAATCGGGTACCAGACATTTTTTCGGACAAAAATTGACATCAGTCAACCTTGAATTTCAGGAGAATTCACCCATCTGTTTTTGAAATTTTTTCCAGATTAAAATTTTATGTTTTGGTGAAAATTTGTTGTTGGTATTTTCACGAACAGGTGATCACAAGATACCTGCGAGGAATTAAGAGTTTCAAATACAGGGGGTCAGTATTTGGGTTTTGACCAGTAAGATAGGGATTTTGGGAAAATTTTTACAAAGCTCAAGTGGTGGTAAAAGGTACAGTGGTTCAATAGTCCCTACAACGAAAAAGAAGAGACCCGATATCCAGACACTCAGTGACGAGTCTTGGGACAGTACCGAAGAAGTCTTGGGACATTGCAGTCTGGGGACAGTCTTAGGGCAACACAGTCTTGGGACAGTCTTGGGACAGTGCAGCCTTGGGACAGTCTTGGACCAGAGCAGTCTTGGTACGAAACAGTCTTGGGACAGTGGTCTTGGGACATTGGTCTTGGGACATTGGTCTTGGGACAGTGGTCTTGGGACATTGGTCTTGGGACATTGGTCTTGGGACATTGGTCTTGGGACATTGGTCTTGGGACATTAGTCTTGGGACAATAGTCTTGGGATGTTGGTCTTGGGCCATTGGTCTTGGGACATTAGTCTTGGGACAGTGGTCTTGGGACGTTGGTCTTGGGCCATTGGTCTTGGGACACTAGTCTTGGGACAATAGTCTTGGGACGTTGGTCTTGGGCCATTAGTCTTGGGACGTTAGTCTTGGGACGTTAGTCTTGGGACGTTAGTCTTGGGACGTTAGTCTTAGGACATTGGTCTTGGGACACTAGTCTGGGGATACTAACAAGAAGCACTGGGACAACACTGAATAATAGGAAGGGGGCACTAAAAGAGTACTAAACCAGGTTGAAGTAACCAATTGTAAGATCATTTTCCCTATCCTATCCTAACACATAAAATTTTCAAAAGCTTAAGAAAAGTTGTTTTCAGCAAATCGTCGATTTCTTTTTAGAAATTTTTTTTTTCAAAAGAGGTTTTAACTTTAGAGTAGAATTTTGTAGGTAGTAATACTGTAAATAGTAACAATTGTAAATAATGAGGCGGAGTAGGGTACCGGTAGCTGAGAAGAGATCTACCGAAGCGAAGACAAAGTATAACTCGTCGCTACGTAAAAACACATCAATGGGTCCGAAGATAACAAAGAAGAACTTTTCAGTTAGTATGGTCAGCACGAGGAGTACCACGGAGAACAAAGCAAAAGAGGGCATAGAAGAGGAACGAGTAGAACCCACCATCGAGATTGATCTAGAGACACCTGATCAAAGTGTGGATGAAGCAGGAAAGAAGACGACAGAGTCAACTCCAATGCCTAATGCGGAAGAACCTAACCCGAATCCCATAGAGTTCTCACCGATAGACAACGCGGAAGACACAACAGGCAACACGCAAGAAACAGTGAAGGATGAGTCTCGAAAGAGAACGTCTTTTACTGAAAGATTAGCAATGATGGTCGGAATGAGATCGAAGGACGCAGCAGTGGAAGAGACGAAGGTTGAGAAAAGCAAAACATTCGGAACAGTCTCCACGAGAACGACAGAGACCGATCAGAACG